ATTTGTTATTTTCAGATTGCAGGTATGGCCAGTACATGGACGCGGCTGACTGTACTCTGTTTCGAGACGAAACTGATCCACTGATTACGTTTATGATCGGACAAATTGAGAAACGGAAACCTGATGCACAACAAGTAAGTTTTCATGCAATTTGTCCATCTACATTAAATGTGCTTGTATTGTATTTAGCAAAAAACTCGGCGTTTTCTCGCGCTACAGAAGCTTATGGAGGAAGGTAAATATTTTTCCGATGAGAAAATGAGAGAACGTGAGCCATATTTGTATGACGTAATGGTTGGAAAATACAGCAATGAGCAAGGTTAGTTTTGATTCATTCGCATAGTAGTATGTGTTCTGCAGAAAGTCATCTGTTAGTACTGCTTTTGCATAAAAATGACTATTTTTTGATTTGTCTTCGCATTATTTTGCTCAGTATTATAGCGTCATGTGCTAGGAAAGTGTTACGAACCTCTGTTTTTGCACTTTTTGTATAGTCAGTTTCCCGAATTGGGACCAATTAGAGTTGGTAAGAATACTTGAAGGGCTGGTCATTTTCATGAGTCATATGTGTGCAGACTTCTCTTCAAAAGCTGATTTGAACTCTTCGTCTCCGAGCGGTCTATTTAGTAAATCATGATAAATTTGCCAAAATATGCGTTTTCGGCGTGTTGGCGTTAGCTCCATCTCTTGTGTACTAAATTTTGATGAATTGAATTGAAAGATAATGTTCTGCTGAAGAAGTCGTCCATAGCATGAAACAGCCAATACACAGTTTTTTATTGTCAAATTGTTTGTCAGCGTGCTCGCAACTTCTTGTAAAAAATCGTGTGACAGATAAAGAAGTGTGCATGTAAACATATTTAGCTACATAAAATTTGCATCCCTTTCTGGCGGTCACGCAGTATCCGTTTTGAAAATCAGCAAGATTTTTGGAAAGTGTGCGAGGAAAATGGCGTTTTTGAAGGTTTCGAATGCCCCAGATTATCTAAAGATTCGCTTCAAGGATGGTTACTCACCGATGTCCGCATTCTTGATGATAAATAGTAATATCTTATCTGTGCAGTCAAATGCTGAGCCACTTTAATTTCGCAATTGCTATCAGAAGGGGGATTTTTTGTTTTCGTTAAATTCGTACTTAGCGAAATAGCTTTCACCCACATACATCATGTGTAGGTTTTTCATGGAGTCTGTTTTTTCGTAATAGAGGATATCTCTCTTGTTTTTGAATTATTTTTGATTATTTGTTCAACAAGAATTTAAAGTTTGCTACGATTTTCCTCAACAATTACCGAGAATTATTTTTTATAATAGATTGGAATTTCATCCTAAAGAATTGCTAGCAAAAGCTGAAACAGTTCTATATAATAACGGTTATTACTAACGTCGCTGCTGTCTTGTTTTTATCTGTGATGACTACTCTTCAGCAAATAAACTATTTAAAATATGTTTGCAGACAGGATCAATCTCCGTCCTTCTGTTTCTCGAGAAGAATGTACTGAGGGTGGTTGGGCGA